TTTCTAATTTATAAATACATTTGGGGTTATAAATTATAAATGTACTACCTCCTGTCAACATTGTATACTTCTATTTGATGATTTCTGTGTCAAATATTATATGGAAATGTTTTCAAGTATTTTCTGTATTAACTGTGAATGAATAGAACAAAATAAATTGCCTGTGATGGAAAAAAAATGTAATTTATGTTCCATGAATGAAAATGAAGATCTTACATTCAACATATAATTATTTTGCATTCTTCAATAAATTCAAAGGCTTTTTATTCACTTTTGATTGATAATGTTGCCAACCTATTTCTCCTGCCTCCTGGAACATATTACCTTTGTTGCTGCATCATAGCAGATGAAGCCTGTGCTGAAGTCAATAGTGAGGCCCATTAGGTGACTCTCTAGCACACATGCATAGGTCTTGCACTGAAAAAACAGAGATTAATGTTAGTTTCCATGTGATTGATATAACCTCACTATCAAGGGGAAGATAACATCTTCTCCCTATGCATGTAATACTTAATATCTGCCTGAGTGAGGTTCAGTGGTATAATACATTCCTAACATAAATATGACCCTATGTTTGATTCTCAGCATTATAAATTTACTTGTAAATATTTTGGGAAAAAGAGTAAATATTGATACTAAAATATAAAAGGGACATAAATCATAAAAGAAATAACTTGGGCCTCATACACAACATGAAGCATTTTTATATCTAGTTTTCTAGTTTTACTTAAATTTCATTCCAAGCTAAATTGCTATATTTGATGGACTATAATCATAATTAACATAAGGGGGAGCTATTTATTTCAGCATTTTTCAAATACTAATGCTTATACTATATTTGTATAGTGTTTATTTAAAATATATTGCCTATCACAAATACTCATACATATGATTAAAACCTAATTTGCATTAAAAACTTATAACTACAACAAATGTTTATTTGGAGTTTAAATTGCAGATTAGGAGACATACTAAATGGATCTAAAAGTATGTGCTTGGATATTATTGTATTTCCTTAATACATGGACATATTAGATAGATGGATTCAGTCATTAGTAATTTATTAAAACTACTATCAACATTAAGGAATATTGAAAGCTACAGTGTTTACTTTCTTTAAGTGTAATTGTTTGCTATTTCTTCGTACCATCATTAAAAGAAAGATTCCAGGTGAAATTGCATTTGTTAGAGTGCATTAGAATTTTCTCATAAAGTTCAACTTTCCAAATTAAATTACATTGTCTCAATAGTCATTAAATGGAAACAAATAAATGATATTAAGTTGAGATCCACTAAAATTTTACTGTATAACTTAAAATGTCAAAAAATATAATGAGTGGATTTGATATATTTAAATTAAAAAATGCTTGTTTATTGTTTAATTACTACATGTATGTAATGAAATGTTATTTTCGTATGAAAAAGTGATAAAGATTATTCTTTTATAGAAGCTCAAACATGAATCACTTGACAAGGTTTTTTGCATAATTATGTATTATAGAGCATCTATAGGTAAAATATACATAGAATAAATATTTTAAAGACCTTCTGGACATAAATTTCTATCACTAGGTAAAGACATATATGGAATTAATCCAAAGTAATTTTAAATAAGTATAACAACTTTTTAAAGTTAATACACTCTCTAAAGCATCATATTAAAAGAGGTAATTGTTAAATTGGATTAGCATATAGTTATGGAACAAATGTTTCCTTTACTGCCCAAATTCACTGACCCTGGTAAAATTATAAAGCCAGTAAAATTAGGCTAAATGAAGTTTACTTTATATTATTTCTTTTAAGTTAGGAAATATAACATTCTATTTACGTAAGTTGTGACTTTTATGTTTCAATATCCACTACATTTTCTAAAGTTTAATTTTAAATTAAAATGATAAAATGGAATGTACTCAATATGTGTGTTTTTATGGATCATCCTTTTTACTAAATATGCTAGTATTTATAATAAGTTTATTACAGGTTTAAAACAAAATATAAATAAGCAAGTAAATATAATTTAAGATAGAAACCATTACTATGTAGTCCTTTTAATTCAAATCTATTTCAAAATAAAAACATTTTTATGCATGACTTCATGACTTCTTCAATAGCTTTAATCAAGTTATTAGTTTTCTCCTTTTATGCCTATTTTTATTAGGTCATGTTTTCCTTTTTATTGTATTTTGCTATGTTACTACAGGGTCTCATGTAGCACAGATTGGATTCAAATTGGATGTAGTTGAGGATGATATTCAACTTTTTTTTTTTTACCTGCCTTCACCTCCCTATTGTTGGGATTATAGGTATATACTGCTAGGTTCATATCTTTATTTTTTACCAACTTTAATGAAACTGAGATAGTCATTCTATAAAAATTAAACAATATTTTTGTTAGTATATTTTGTCAGTATATTCACAATGTTAAATATGAAAGTAAAAAAATCTAAATTTTTCAACTTTCAACTTTTTACAGATTTCTAGTGTAGTTAACAAAGACAAATTATGAAATATGAGACAACCCAAAAGTTAAACAGAATCCAGATATGTTCCTTTCATTTCTGTCATCATACGAGTTTAAAAATAAGTGTCCATGTGTGTTGGTCCTAGATCTATGAATTTATTGCAAGGGGCAAGAACCTAGTCAACTTTGAATTTTGCTATGTCTTGCTCCAGGTTAAACAGAAAACCAATTCTGTGAGGTGTCTCATTTCAGGTTCCCATGAGAGGTTAAAAGATTTATGAAGTTTGATCTAGATATGTCTTCATACTGGAAAAATATATATATAGTTCAGTAAATACCGACTAGACACTTGTGATTCACAAAATGTGCTAGACTTCAACTCATAGAGGAATAAAATAAGCAACCTATGACAAACTTTTTCAATGTTTTGATGTGAGCCATCTGAAGAAAACAGTGAAATAAAGTGGTATTTTTGTTACAGTGGAAGAAGGGAGAGTTGCTATGGAGAGGGTCTGTTAGGCAGCCTTAGAAATGATGAGGCTGCCCACAGATCAAGTAACTGTAGTGGGTAACCATTCCAGCTTTGACCTGGAAGTTCCAACCCCCATTGAGGCTTCAGTAATGGTCAGGCCTACAAGGTGGGGCTGAGAGAGGACGCTGAAGACCGGAGATCCAGATGCATTGGCTCTCTTGGTTCCTGGACCCTGGACGCTGGAGGTAGACCGAACAGAGTTCTCCAGAGAACACAGCTGGACTGTGCCACACCTTTCCCAGACCCTTTAAGCTATTCTTTCACTTGTAGGTTACTCCACAAAATAGACCTCCCTATTAACTACGTGGAGTGGCCTTAATAATTTCACCAATAAGTAACCCTTGAAGAAAGCCTCACATACTATGAATTGTTATGAAAGGCACGGATGAAGGGGAGGCATCTAGAAGCTATGTGGCCAAGTCTACAGAAGTGGAAACAATCTCATAAATAACTACAGCCAGAGTATTTTCTATATAAGATTCAAATTATAGAAATATTTAATAGGAAGTAGCCTACTAAGGTAAAATTATGAGAAAAACTTCAATGATTATTCAGATATGCCTATTCACTGTTTTCAAAGACAGCCAAATGTTGGATGCATTTGAGATGGAGGGAAACCTCAAAGAACTGTGCACATGTACTTTGCAAACTTCAGTTAGTGGTTATATTTCCAAGGTACCACACATACACACTGCACTCCACACGCTCTTACCTGTATCCGCTCCACTTCTAAGAAGGTGGCTGTTTGGAAGGCTCGTTCCCATTGGGCAAGGTCACTTTCTAACTCCACAGAGAAGTATAGATCCTCCCCACATTCAGACTGCATAGTAAAGCAATGTTTCCGCCGATCCAGCAAGTCACTGTCCTGATGAAAACCTGGAGTTACACAGGCTGGCATACATATTCAGTAAAACAAACCCTATACCAATGCTGCTGGATATAATGTGTTGATTCCATAACACATGCAGAATTCTATAGTATCATTTATCTAATTCAGAATGGTCACTACAAACAAATTTCAAATTCCACACCTCACACAATTTCCTTTTGCAACTACTGATGATCATCTACCAGAAGGGACTCTAGTTTCAGTTCTTACTAACAAAGAAATAAATAAAGTTCTCAACACACAATACTACTCTGTGATTGCAAAATATCCTGACACACAAACCCTGACTTCCTTCCAAAGCTGTCTGGACACTGAAATGGAATAATCTTTATAATGATGTTGGTATCTAGTCTGATGGAGGAATGAATGCCAATGGACTGTCACTCAGCAGTGGAAAGGCATTGAATCCTTGGCTTTGGCAATGATTCTGAAAAGAATGTCTTAAGTTCCTTGCATCCTAATTTGACAGTTGTAAGTATGTACTGGAATAATAAAGGCAGTTACTTCCAGTATTGTAGAATTAATTCTGACACTTGCTGCCAGAAGAATTTAGAGAGCTAAGAAGATGACATAGGATTTATCTAAAGGAAAAATATTAATGATACAATGTGAGCTCACCCCAAAGATAAATAGATGACAAGCTGCTTTTGGCGATTTGGAGCAAATATTATATCCAAAGAGTGTCTCAATGACAGATGTTAAATAAAAAAGCAATAAAGACGATGGTACAAATTATTATGAGTGCAAGTACATAACTCTGGTGAGCTGAAGTTAGCTGTGGCCTTCCCATATTTCCTGGATCTCTCAGGTTATCATTCCTATGTCTGGCTCCATGTTTTTTATTTAATAAGTCCGTTTAGAAATTCATCTACAATTGGCACTCCAACATGGCAAGAATTCACTAAAAAGACACTTGTGGCCTTACAGGCCCCATGACTCAAGCCGGAGCTGCATATGGCCAGATCTCTTTGGTTTTTTTCTCTCCTAGTGGGTGGTGGGCTAGCTCTGGATTCCCACCTCAGACTGCTACCACACTAGCTTTGAAATTCCCTCAGACTTCTTCTGTTCTATACAGTTGACAGACTTGGTAAGTCAATTAAGATATATTAAAGGGAAAAATTAGCTAAAAGAATTTTTTTTCTGACATTAAAAAAGTGGGAAACATTTTTACAATGAAAGGAATTTGGTCTCTGTTTGATAACACATTAGGCAGTCTGAAAATGAAACAATTAAATGAGAGGATATTTAATGTTGATGAGATGTATGTAACATCAATTACAAATATTATTTGTTTGATCATTTTTACTTTAGCATTCAAAATATTGGTCAATTTGAGTGCCAAGATAAAAGCTTTAGAAAAATTTGTTAAATGAATTAAGTAGAAATTCAGACCCAGACAGGAGAATTAAAGGTGAACCTATCTCAGGACTGATTGTAGAAAAACCTGTTAAAATGAATTATAGAGAAATAAGACCCAGACAGAAGAATTTAAATGTGACATTATCTCAGGATTGAATTATACAGTTACAGAGAAACAGCCTCAGATTATCAGGCAGCAGACATTAATCTACCCAGTAACCTTACAGAAAGTGTCAAATGCTCAAGGATATATATCAACTAACCAGACTCCAGTGGAAATGTTAGATTTAAGGAGATTTAAAGAAGATATAGTATCACATGGAATGCATTCTCCATTTGTAAAGCAGATGATAGACTCAGAGTCAACTTCTAATAGAATTATCACTCAGGACTGGAATGAATTAATTACAGCAGTGCTAGAGGCGAGACCACCGTTACAATGGAGAACACGGAGGAAAGAGGAGGCTAAAAATGTATAACAATGATGTAGGACTGGAGGTGTGGAAATTCCCCAGGATCAGCTTCTTGGAGAAGGTGATTACACTGATATACAAAGAAAATGTTTATATGGTAACTAAACCCTAATTCTATGCCACATAGCAGCCATGAATACATGGAACAGAACTGAGGAAGCAGGAAAAAAAATGAGTCATTTACAAAAGTTGTACAAAGCCCCAAAGAATCCTTTACAGATTTCTTCCAAAGGCTATGTTCAGCAATAAATAAAATGATACCAAATTCAGGACCAAGATAGATAATAATTGAACCTTTGACTTTTGAGAATGCAAATACAGCATGTAAGAGGGTAATCAGGATGCTAAAGGAAAGATCAACACCCTTGCAGGATTGGATCAGGGACACAATTAATATTGAGTCTCGTGACCATGATGAGATGTGGATAGGACAGGTTATATCAAGAGCTTTGAGGAAAAATACTAATGTCAGATAGTTTAATTGTGGTAAACAAGGTCTTCTGAAAAGGTACTGTAACCAGCATTCCTAGAAACAATGTTTATTCAAGGAACAATGGCAACAGAATGCCCCTTCCTTCAGGATTGTGCAGAAGGTGTGATAAAGGTAACCATTGGACCAATGGATGTGGATCAACAAGGGGCAGACAAGGTAATCATTTGCCTCTGACATCACGAAACTCCCTGAGGGACCTCTCACAGGCCCCCATGGCAAATTAAGTTCAGTCCCTTCCTGCTATCATAGAAGAAACCCCTCTTAGAGCAATTAAATAACCAAATGACTATTGGAATAGACCAGACTCCTTAAGGTAATAGAACAGCTATAGCAGAGAGAACAGGAAAATCAGAAGAAATCATAAAGTAAATTTTTTGGCAATCTTCTATAAATGATCTGTAGATAGATATAACCATCTTATTAAATAAGAAACACAGAGCCAAATACAGAGTTAGAAGCCCAAGAGGTCAGAGCAGTAGCTGAGAGCTGAGACTTAAAACCATCCTTCTTACCCTTCCTGCTGCTGCTGTCCTTCCCCTCAGCAAGAGACCTACTTCCTGTGTCCTTTTATTGACTTTCTGTTCTGTCTTCTCATTGGTTGTAAACCCAACCACATGACCTCCTCATCACTGCCTGTCTATACAGACCTCCAGGTCTTCTATGGTTGGTATTGAGATTAAAGGAGTGTGTCTCCATGCTGGCTGTATCTTTGAACACACAAAAATCTGTCTGTCATGTGATCTGAATTAAAGGTGTGTGCCACCACTGCCTGGCTTCTGCTATGGTTTGCTATTAGCTCTGACCCCCAGGAAACTTTATTTATTAACATACAAATAAAATCACATTTCAGTACAAATAAAATATCAACATAATGATCAAAGACCAAAATAAAAAATTGAATAAATGACATTCTCTTGGAATATCTTTTAGACACTGATGCTGACATCACAATAATTGCATCCGAATTTTGGCATCCAAATTGGCATCTTCAGGAGGTAAATGGTCAGCTCTTAGGGACTGGAACATTATTTCAAGTGAAACAAAGTATAAGCTGGCTCAAATGGATAGGGTCAGAAGGACAGAGAGAAAAATTAAAGCCATATGTGTCTAATATAGCTATGGATTTATTGGGACATGATCTATTACAACAATGGAATACTCATGATAACATCCTTCCAACCTCAGAAACAAATCATAAACTAACACATGTTTCTGAGAGAAATATTAGGAGATATTATAAAGAGCAGTCACTGGCCATCCAGATTGTACAAGGCACAACAACTGATAATCTTTCAAAGACACAAACAGCTCTACCTTTAAAATGGTTAATAGACCAGCCTGTTTGGGTTCAGCAATTGCCTTTAACAACAGAGAAACTGTAGGGTTTAGAAGAGCTGGTACAAGAGCAGTTAATGCTCAGTATATTGAAGAATCAACCAGCCCTTGGGATTCTTCTATGTTTGTTATTAAAAATAAATCTGGTAAATGGAGAATGGTAACAGACCTTAGAGAAATTAACAAAGTAATTCTGCCAATGGGCTCTCTACAGTCTGGAATTCCTTTGCCTAATATGTTATCTAAAGGATGGTCTCTTATACTTATCAATTTAAAAGACTGTGTCTTCTCAGTATCTTCACAATAAAAAGACAGAAAATGATTTGCCTTCACAGTGCCTAGTTATAATAATTCTCAGCCAGTTATGAGATATCAATGGAGGGTTCTCCCACAGGGAATGTTGAATAGCCCAACCCTGTGCAAATATTTTGTACGACAGCCATTGGAAATAATGTGTAAAAAATTTCCTAAATCTATAATTTATCATTACATAAACGATAATTTACTAGCTGATTTTACTAGCTGATTCAAATGAAGATACCTTAGAAAGAATGGTTGAATAAGTAAAGAAAAATTTGCCTTGTTGGGGATTACTAATTGCTCTTGAAAAGATACAAAGAGGAGATTCTATTAATTATTTAGGATATAAAATAGGTCTACAAAAATTTAGACCCCAAAAGGTGCAAATTAGGAGAGATCCATCAATTATATACACTTAATGACTCTCAAAGATTATTCGGAGACATTACCCATCTTTGAACTATTGGGGTAAAAAATGATGAACTGAGTAATTTGTTCAAAACCTTAGAAGATGACAAAGATTTAAATAGTACAAGAGAATTATCAGCTAAAACTGAGAGAAAGTTGGCCTTGGTAGAAAAGAAAGTACAAGAAGGACATGTGCAAAATGGGAATCCAAAGCTTAATTATACTTTCATTATTTTATGCCCTAAGAGTTCTTTTTTTGCTTTTAAAATGTCACCATGACACTGAGAAACATACCACGTAAATAAATACTTACATGAATTTTAATGCAAAGGGAAGATATTATATTAGAATGGATATTTCTACCAAAATAAATAGAGTAAAAAAATTAAAAACGTATGTGTAAAAGAACTCTGACTTGATTTTAAAAGGAAAATTGACTCATAAATTAGCAGGAATAGACCCAGCATAAATTGTAGTACTTTTAATTAAGGATGACATTGACAAATTATGGGCAGAAAGTGAACCATGGTAAAGATCTTTCAGTAATTTATTTGGAGATATTAACAGCAAATATCCCAAAAGTGATAGAATTCAATTTATAGAAGGAG